TTTCAGAGAAACCTAATAAGCCGATTTGGGCTTCCTGCCGAGATAATAACAGACAACGGAACGCAGTTTGCTGACAAAAAGTTCCAAGAGTTGATGACCGACCTCAAAATCACACACCGGTTTGCATCAGTCGAACACCCTCAAACTAATGGACAGGCCGAGTCTGCCAACAAGGTGATCATCAATGGGCTGAAGAAGAGGCTTTTTCAGGCCAAAGGCAATTGGGTTCAGCAGCTACACCTCGTCCTATGGGGTTACAGGACGAGTGTTCAGTCTGCTACGGGAGAAACTCCCTTCAAGCTAACATATGGGTGCGAGGCCATGATCCCGGTGGAAATCGGCGAGCCATCCTGGAGGACGAACCAGAGGCTGCAAGGAACCGAAAGCCAAAACAAGGAAGCACTCCTTGTAGAACTCGACCTGCTGGACGAGTGCAGGGAGAACGCCAGATACAAAAACATGATGGCCAAGCGTTTGATAACGGCCAGGTTCAACAAAAAGGTCAGACCTCGGTCGTTTCAGGGTGGCGACTTGGTACTGCGTAGAGCCGACATAGGCAACAAGAATGCGAAAGATGGAAAGCTTGCCGCAAACTGGGAAGGCCCCTATAGGATCAAGAATGATCTAGGAAAGGGAGCCTACACCTTGGAAACTATCTCCAAAAAACCAGTAAAAAGGACTTGGAACGCGGACAAGTTGAAGATCTACTACAGCTAGGGTCTAGGCCCGACGCTCGAAGTAGAAAACGAGCTGTCAGGCTCGATTGATAGTTAGAGTTATTTCTACACCAATAAGACGAGTTATTAAGCTCAGTCGGTAGATAGATTTATTTTCAGGCAAATAAAATGAGCTCTTAAGCTCAGCCCTTGTACAAAAGATTTCATTGAAATGCAAGTAAAGCAGTTAATTAATTTCTGTCGTATATGCATATTGACTTCTGCTTAGGAAATTGAAGCCTCAGGAGCTTCCTGACCGAAAGGGAATAAAGTTTTGTTGACGAACAAAAAGTAACCCTATAATCGGCTAATGAAAAACCTCGACAAAATATAAGTCGATTGTGACGAGATCGAAATAAGCACTTCAAGCGTGAATAAAAAAGAAGCAACGATCTCGGCAAAATGAAATTAGCGACATACAATTTAAAAAGCCGGACTAAAGCGGCAATCATGTTCTGACAAAATAAAAAAGGAGCTCAAAGGCTCCGTAATCAAAACAACACAATAAGGTCGGCATTCCAACCCCTTCATTCTTCTGCAGGAGGTGAAGTGGCGCGAAATTCGGTTCCGACCTCTCCTTCATCAGCGGACTCGGCATCTGGGGTTCCAGGGACTATAATGCCGTCCTTCACCTCGTAGGATACGTCCATGCCATCCACCACCATGCCAGGGTTCAGAATTTGAGCCTGAGCAATAGCGTTGTCGAAGGCTTGAATAGCGGCTCTTGCAACCACAGCTTTGGCCTCTTCAAAATCGGCCTGCAAGTCAGCAAGGCGAGCACCTTCTCCGCCATAGACCCCGAGAAGGACTCCTTCTCGGCACGCAAGTCATTGGCCTCGGCGGTAACCACCTCCAAGTCCTTCGAAGTCTTATCCAGGGCCAAGGACAACTCTTGAATTCTGCCCTCCAAGGTCGACTTAGATTTGCTCAGCTCCTCTACCTTGACGGAAAGAGATGAGTTAGAAGCATTAGACAAATCGAGGCTCTGATTAAGATCCTGAAAGGTCTGGAGCAGTGAGATCGTTTTCAAAGAATCTTCTTCCATTCGCGCTAACATGGCCCTCACAGTGGTGGTCAAGCCCGAACTCCCAATGAGCCCGGAAGGAGGCTTGAGTACGGCCCTAAGGCGGTCCGAAACCCCCGTTCTCCATAATTCCCCAGGCTCGAGGCTGACCAAATTCTCTGGGAGAGCTGAGGGGGGAACTGAGAGCGGCGACGAAACAGGAGTCGAAGCATCAACCATGGTCACCCCGGCGTCGACCGAGCTGCCGCCGAGTATGGAATCTATCTGCCTCTTCTTCGGAACTCCAGACTCAAGAGCGGCCGACTCTTTTGACTTTCCCTTTCCAGTTTTCTTAGGCAAAAACTTTTTGTATTCGGCAGAGGTCATGCTGACTGCAAAGGAAAGAAGAAAAGTCAAAATGCAGATTATCAATTTGAAAGGTAAGATGAACTACAACAAAAGATAAAAAATAAAATGAGCTACATACCGAGCTCAAAAATGGCATCCTCCCCAAACTTATCTACAACCCGACTTAAGTCAAAAACTCCGAACTCGTCGGTATATTCAATAAGAACTCGGACCGCTAGACGTTCTGAGCTGGAAAGGGCAGTTAAGGGAGTGCCGTAGTCCTTTGGACGCCTTTGATAATGTCTCGACGTCCAGTATAGTTCAAACCGAGATAAAATGCCGCCATCGTCGAGCCACTCCTCGGCAAACCAGGGAAGAGACTCAGAACGGGATACCACCTTAAAATAGGCGTCCTTGAAACCCTTAAAAGATTGGGAGTAAGGAATAAAAATCCCTCTGCCAGGACTACCTCGTAGGGTAACCCATCCCTTCTTGGCCTTGGACTCGACGCCAGTACGGAAGGTATATACATCAAAGAAGAAGAGGAAAAGAGCAACGGTGCAGGGGAGGCACAAGTATGCACACACCTGCTCAAAACCCCGTACGAAAGCCCATGAATTTGGATGGAGTTGTGAGGGTGCAACCCTAAGACGCCGAAGAACTGACATTTGAAAGTCGGTAAAAGGAAGCCGGATACCTAGTTTGGTAACAAGATCTCGGTAAAAGTAGAAGAAATGAGGCTCATCTAATATAGGACCTGAACATACAGGAAAGTCGCCAGGCGGAAGAAGATCAACCCCGTTGGGATTTCCCACAGGGAGTTGGGCCACCTCGGAAGGAGACATTGTGGATCGTCTTTGGAGAACTTCAAGAAGGACCCAATCTTGAGCGTCCGAACCGTCCATGACGATATTCCTGGAATATGAAGGACAAAGATCAGTACACATGCCAACCGATTCCGACCTGAGACTACCAGCCTCGGAACGAGGCGAAGACGAACTCCAAGAGGGATGAACAGAGCTATCCGAACTACTGACAAGGTCGATAAATGAAACCCGACTTGTTGCAGAGTCCTTTAAGGAGGAAGGGGTGACAGACATAGGAATTCCAATCTCAGACGAAGAGAGGCTGGATGAGCTAGCGCTCAGGTCAAGAGGAGGAATCCGATCCAGAACGGACCTCGTACCAGAAGCCATCCCAGAAGATGGCAGAATAATGGACAGCGGAACTGGTTCAGGAAGGGAGCTCAGTCTAGGAGCTGAGGGATTCATTGGGGAAGGATTGCTCATGCCAAAGTCAAGTTGTGACTGACGACCCCCTCTAGTTCGGCTTGTTCCCCCTCCTACCTCGGCCTCCGTGAGAACCACGAAGGTCCCCACGAGGACCACAGAGAAGCTGTTGAAGCTTCTCCTCCTCGGTGTATTCTCTACCGAAGAACCAGTACTGGACAGAGCGAGGCAAATGGCTCACCGCCTCCTCCTCCCCCACGCCACTTGGCTGGGATGCTGGACCAGAGGAAAAACTAGGGGCACTCATTATGAACCCTCAACACTTTAAAGAGGAAAGTACAAACCCAATTCAAAAACGGAGCAACGGGGAAAAGCGAAATAAACAGAAAGGTACCTGAACTTGGGAGCAAAGATGGTGAAAACTAGACTCAATGAACAGAAACCTTCACTGGATGCAAGGGGAGCTCCACGAGAATTTGCCACATGAATAACTGTAAAGTCTGGAACCCGTTGAGAAAATGGTATTTAAAGGGGCGACGAGTGACTTGGGCGCGAAGGCGAAGGGTTTTCTCTTCAAACTGTTAAGTGAGGAAGGGGGCAGAATTGGGAATTCACCCTGGGAGCATTAAAAGCACCTCATCATAACCTGAGCAAAATTGAAGCAGTACGCACTGCACGAAGCACGAACTACCAATGGGCGCGAAACACGTGGACTGCCATAACCGTCACAGCAGACACGATGCGAATGGTCAAATGCGAAGGGTCAGGATAAGGTCCAGCCCCGAGTTCCGGGGTCAGGTATCGCCCGGGTATCACCTTCCGATACGACGACTCGACCAGCGTGACGAAAGACAGCCGCAAAGAATTTGGGCAATATCCGACATAGTCAACTTCGACTTCAAGTGCAAACGTCAAGGAAGTATAGTGAGCGAGATCTTGACGACTTGAACAAACTACAAGTGTCGACTCCAAAGTCTCAGAGATTCAAATTTGAAGAGTAAACTCCGATCGACCAAGCCTAAGACGACAACCTGTAATCTCGGCATCAAGGATCCCGGAATGCCGAGCTGGGGGGCAACTGTTATGGATATGAATATCATATCCCAACTACCTAGTAAAATATCCATAGGGATATTGAATCAGTTACATCTCAACAACCTCAAACAATTAAAAGGATATGAGATAAGGATCACACCCCAACAGAAAGAGGGAATCCAGCTACAATGGGGGGATTTCAGAGGCACAATCCTGGGAAGGTAATCCTATAAATAAGAGCCTAAGAACCCTAGGTAAGATTTCAGAACTCATTTATTACTTCTGCCCACACTGTGCACACACCCACCTCTTGGCTATAAGCCTATTGCTTGTGCGCAGTGATTGGGACCTCGGCTGTAAGCCTAGTATACACTTGATATACATTATCTCTGAGCGCATACTTTACGGTATAGCAATACAGTCTATCCAGGACCGAACAAAGACTTTAATAACTCTGAAATAAATTAAAATTACAAAAACATCATGATTTTCGTCCTAAAACGACGTCGTATTAGGCTTACTGCAGATAATTTATCTGCAATGACTGCAGAAAAAGCGAACCCATAATACATAAACAAGGAGAAAATATATAAATCTTATTTAATTACCAGTCATTGGAAGGTATTAATTCTTGCATAAGAAAATCAAATCCCAATTGCAAATCCCCCATTTCAGAATTATCTTATATGTATTGAACAAATGCAGTTCTTTCTTTCTGTCTCTCTCTCTCTCTGGATTACAATCCGGGTGCTGATTCTCACCAGTATCAAATTCAACTGGGGTAGGCAACAAGTACTATCTCCTTTCTATTTTTCTTTATTGACTATTACAGAGCAGCAATTTAAATTATGTGACTGCTTTTCTCTGGGAGAAAAAATAGTAAACATTAAACATTACCCAAAAGGAAGGTATTATTATGTGACAATTAAGTCAAACTAGAAGCAAGATGATCAACAACAAAGAAATAACTTCCTACAATCATGAATGATGCAATCCCAGAGCGAGCCATCCGCAACCCGATACCACGGAACAAGACATTCCTGTCAGCAGGATGGATCCCAGTAATTCTTTCAAACTTGTTTCCTGGTCGTGTCCACTTCAGAAACCTTCTCTCCATAGAGAGATGCTGGAACCAGAAAATTTGTGAATTGCTATCAGATTTGTTGGAATTTGGAAACACATGAAATTACAGTTTTTTATTTCAATTCAGATATTACTCAATGTTTGGCATGACACCGTAAAGAACAAAGCATATTAACTTTAAGTAAATAACCACTGGTATCCACAAGTATGCCTTCCTTGTAAGTCTGAATGAAAAAATATGATAATCTGAATTATGGGAATACGAAGACAAACTTATGCCAAACTAACCCACCAGGGAACCATGCTTAATTTAGTTAGTTGGACATTATTAAATAATTTTGTCCCACTATCTTCAGTTTTAAAGTTTGATTTTACTAACCAGATATCAGCAAGTCTGGAAACATAAAACTCAACTGCTGTTTGGACAGAAAGGCTATCCTGCAGTTGCTTGTTGGGACTATAGATGAACATCACTAGAAATGGGAAATGACTCCATCTTATTGGGTGAAACAGGAAAAAAATTTATATGAGGATGAATAACAAGCTGAGTTCTTGGACTTTAAGGATAACAGTTCTGACCTTGGACCCAATATGGGAAAGGATAATTTTTACAGCATCTTCAGCATATGGTTTTCTTCTCCTTGGTTGAAATGCTGAGAGATTATACTTTAAAGAGTTACTCTGTATTAATGTTGTGTTTGTTTTTTGTTTAGTTTAAGGAAACTATCTTAGTCTACTTGTCCTTTGTAATCCTTCTGTCCTTCAAATAAAACTTCTTTTTTAGTTGGGATATAAAAAAAAGAAGAAGCATTTCTAGGGAAAAGAATATTACAGTAAAAATGTAAAATACCAAAATCATTACATGGAATATAATCAAACACAACTTTTCCTTTTTCTGTTTAATACTAAGGCAATTGACATGTCATGTAAGAGTAATCAAAACAAGACGACTGTAATTCACAAGGCTTTCAAACTTTTTAGTAACAACTAGTAATGTTAATAATACCTTTGGCAGCACAGTACACTGTGATCTAGTTCTTGCAGTATCAAAACTATGAGAAGCAGCGGCAGCAACTGAAGCTGATAATCCAGCAGAAAGACTAACAGCCAAGGGAGACAATGGACCGATTTCTTCATTTAAGCTGAGTCAGAAACAAGCACAATTAAACAATAAAGGACAACTAAGCTTACTTGCAATTAAATTAATTAGTCTAAAAGCACTAGTAAAAGACTATATATATAAATCAAGAGTCCAACAGCTACCAGACCTTATCGCAGATAAAAAATCAGATTGAGGATCACATGAAAAACCCAATCAAAAAACCAATTGAGAACATATAGATTAGTACTTTAGGTTCAGATTACTAATTTACAGGGAAGTGCAACTGCAGAGGATAAGGTATCCACTTAAAAGAAATCAAACTAGTTCACATCAACCTTATCCATAGTTTACTGAACAGGGCCTCAAAATGAACATGAGCCATCAGACAGAAAGTTATTGCAACTCAATCTATGTACAAGAAAATAAAAAAGTAGAAAATCGATACAAAATTTTAAACATAATCAGCTGTAGATCATCAAATGTAGCTTGACCAATTCCCAATCAGAATATTTTCACGAAGTTATCTTTCATAGAAACAAACCTAGCAAAACCCAATAGCGGGAAGAATGATACAAAAGAAATGTTCATTTTATTAATCACAAAGATGAACCTGGGTATAGGATCCATCCCTACAGCTTTCCACCCAAGCATTGCTCGGTGCAAAAGTTCCCAACTTGAAAAAAATACACCACCAAACACAGAATCTCGAACAATTCCAGAACGTAGACCTCTCCATAATGTGCTCCATCCTTCCAAAGATATAATGTCTGATGGCCTTCTCACATTGCAAACTGATGGTGGCCTCCCAGATCCTGTCATTGCCCATGGATACTCCAATAAAGCACCAGTCATGTTAGTATTTTTTGTTGTGAGGGTAGAGATGAGACCAACATATTGGTTCAATGACCTCTTGTCTGGATAACAGCCATTAAGTAATCTTGCAACTAAAGGTGTGCGGGCCCCCTTTTCCAAAGCAAAATTAGAGCTCGGGACGTACGAAGCTGAGGTAACCTGCATACGAATCTTGATGAGTTCAAAAGGAGAGCTTATAATTGTCTCTATGGCACCAGCTGCCATGCCTGCCAAAAGAGCCTCAGCACCAGAGATATAATTAAGTTCTCGACCATCTGCCAAAAATGCACTTGTGAGCACCCAAATCATTCACCGCCCCAAAAAATAAAAGCACTATTAAGACTGTAATTCACAAATAACAAACTCCACAAGGTATTGAAAAAATAGAAAACCCAAGCTAACGATCATTAGGTCAAATAATCAAAGGGCATCTTAAATCAGACATTGCTACAAAATCTACAGACATACCAAAACTTAAATCTTGAATGATTAATATGACGAGAAACATGTCATATTCATTCATAACAAACTAGTGCTATTTTCTTTTATGGATGTTAATGAAAAGGAAAATTTAAACAAAGAAAGAATATCAATCACACTAACACAAAAAGAATTAAAAGAAAAACATAGGAATTACCTTTGCAATAAGCTTTCAGGATTTCGTAAACCCCAAATCGAGCTCCCAGACCAAAAATCCTTCCAAATGCCAACCAGCCAAAACCACTGAACAGACCTGAAATGCCAAAATATAACAAGACACCTGAGTTAAGATATGGTGTATATCGAGTTTATGCACTGAGCCAATGGGAACATGCAGTTAGTTTTACAAAACCTGCAACATGGGACCAAATCTGAGAAATGCCAAAACAACTGTCACTTTCTATTGATCCAGTGCACAAACTACTTAGTACATCAAGTGTACTCAAGATTTTCGAAGATTAAGAAAAAGGATGAGAAAAAAAAATGATTTGGTCCAGTCCAATTACCTACAGTATCCATGGAAATAGCAAGGGAACATAGCAACTTATCACACAGCATTCCCATGTCAGTTATACATACACACATTTAAATCTAGCTCCAACCAACAATACAATAACCCCACAAGAAAATTAAAATGAAAATTCCTCATGTGCATAAGGAAAAAAATCAGCATACCTGCATTACCCGACAAGGAGAATACTCTGATCAAAGCCTCGGCAGCATTCAATTCTCTAGCGGCACTGGAACCAACCTGTGAATAAACAAAGAAAAGGTACAAGTTTGAAGCAATTGAGAAATGATGATAGTGATGAAACAGAAAGGAGAGGGGGGGGGGGGGGGGGGTTTGAAAAAGTGAGAACCTGAGTGAGGACTTTGAGGGTATCGAGAGGATATGTGAAACCTGTGGCTAAAGCCACTGAGCCAGCACTAGCAATCCCATGAACAACAACAATCTGGTTCGGTGACAACTCATCCATCTTAATACCTTCAGACAATGGATGTGAGAGTTTTAAGGTTGTGTAGTTGTACCTTAACGATGGAGTTGCACGCGTGTCACTTAACGATTGATCTTCAGTGCTCCCAGTCCCCTCCTTAAACCCTACTTGCTCTCGCGGACCTTCTTCTCTCGACAAATTAATTAAATTTTTTTTTCTTACTTTGTTAAATAATTAATGCAAATCTACTCCATTTTCATTTGTTTATGGATTTGTTTTTTATTAATGTATATAATTTATCTACAGTGAGTCCAAAACGACGTCACAGAAATCAAGATTTTTTTATAATTATAATTTATTTGAGGGTTCTAATAATTTTTTTCATTATAATTTATTAATTTTTCAACCCAAAACAATGTCGTTTTAGGGACGAATATAAATAATTTATCTACGTTCACTTTGTGAACATTAAAGATATTTTTTTTTTTTTTATGATAAGCAAGAAACATTAAAGACTTTGTTTATTAGAAGAAACTCATCATACGAGGAAGAAAAATAAAATAGAAGATAAGTCGAATTTTTTTTATCAGTTATGTTATATCAAATTATCAATAAATACAAAATTAATATAAAACAATATGAGTTAAATTGTAAAGTATCTTAGTTTATGAGATAAATTCATAAAGCTCAGGTCTTGGCAACAAATGTTTACTAAATTAAACTTGTGAAAAAAAAAAATATGATAGTAAACAATGCATAATGTGAAAGTATAAATTTATTTGTTTATATTTTTTTGGCTACATTTTAAAAAGAATTCATTCTCCTTAATTTTATATAAACTTTTTATCTTACACCTAAGAGAAATATAATATAATATATACTTGTTTTCTCAAACTCGGCTTTTTAATTTTATTTTATTATTTCTCGTGTGTAAATACAATTCGAATTTTTTTTTTGATTTTATTTATATGATAATTTTATGAAGGCGGTCCTTATATTTACCATCATTTTAGCCTTAATTACAATATAATTGGTTATTATTTGATCAATTTGAAATCAATAATAATTATTTTTTTCTCATTTTCAACTGTTAATTTCAAATTAATATTGTTGTTGGATTAATTTGAAATTAATGATAATTATTTTTTTTCTCATTTTCAACTGTTGATTTCAAATTGATATTCTCGTTGGATTAATTTGAAATAAACAACAATTATTTTTTTCTTTTTTTCAACCGTTGATTTCAAATTGATCCAATAATAAAAAAAAATAGTAAGAGTGATAATTCTAAAATAGAGATAAATATAACCTTTTCTCAATTTTTTTTCTTCTTTTTTTACAAAATTTTCTTATTCTGCCATTGAAGATAGAAGTGATGATTATTTATGTTTTTTTCTTTCAAAATAACGATTGCAAGATTAAAACTCTTAAAATTTTAGTTTGTTGAATTTGTGAAAAAAAATAGATATTAACTTGCTAGATAAAATTTCAATTTAGATCTACACTTTTATGATTTTTTTAATCAAAATGATTTCATCAAATTCTAAATGTTTTTACGATTTTTTATGAATTTTTTTACATTAAAATTTTATATTTTATAATTTTTTATTCTTTTTTCGATTTTAGTTAAAATTTTAATTTTAACTACGATGGTACACAGGTGATGAAAAAGAAAGAAAGCATGTATATATATATATATATATATATATATATATTGTTAATATTTTTCTTTTACTGATTTATTGTTTTTTTTGTCGCAATTACATTTCTTGTAGCAAATAAAATAAAACCAGTCCATGATTAATTCAACCTTTTGCGAGAAAGGATTTGATTTGGGCCGAAAAAATCGTCCAAAAAGACTTTACCATATTAGTTTTTTTTTTGTACTAGAAGGCCCAACTAAGAACCCTAATTGCCAAAGCCATTAAAACTCAGGAATCGTGCATCCTTCTACGCCTTTCCAATTACTCAAGCGATCTCAACCATCAACGCCGCAATGGTAAGACCAAGCTCCTCTTCCATCACTCAAGTTCAATTTCATGTTTTACAAATTGTTCAACGTGCATTTGATTTTCATTTTGTTGTAGGTGAACGTTCCCAAGACAAAGAAGACTTACTGCAAGAGCAAGGAGTGCAAAAAACACACCCTTCACAAGGTCACCCAATACAAGAAGGGTAAGGATAGCATTGCCGCTCAGGGTAAACGCCGTTATGACAGGAAACAATCTGGTTATGGTGGACAAACTAAACCTGTCTTCCACAAGAAGGTAGGTTTGCACGCACCTTCTATTTGGAGGGTAGGGTGCCCTAATGTGTTGTTCTGCTATTTGTTATAACCTAATTATGTTTTTGACTTTGTCTGTTAATTAGGCAAAAACCACCAAGAAAATTGTCCTGAGGCTGCAGTGCCAGGGTTGCAAACATGTCTCCCAACATGCTATCAAGGTAACCACGTTGTTCGTGTGGTTATGTTGTTTTTGTTTTTCATGTGGGTTATGTGGGTAATGGTTGGTTTATGTTTTTGTTTTGCAGAGGTGCAAGCACTTTGAGATTGGCGGTGACAAGAAGGGAAAAGGAACCTCTCTGTTCTAGGTGTAGAATTAGAATTTGAAGTTTCACTGTTTTTCCTTTTTTTTTTTTTATCCATTTTGCTTGGTTTTTTAAAATTTTCTGAAATACTTTATGTTCGGTACTGTTCTAATATCAATGGAGTTTCTTCCTTTCCTTGAATTGTTGCAATTCATTCAATCCTGTTTGATTACTTTATTGGAACCCTGAGGCATACAACAATGCGTTAGATTTTTATTTTTTTTGGGATGTTACATTACCCCTTTTTGTTATTTGGTACATGAAGAATATGGTAGCTGCATGCATTACTTGTTACACTGGTTCCCGGAAACTTTAATATCTTTCCGTGGTGGTGCGAGTTTCTCTTAGAACGGTTCTATTACTAAAATATTAGGAAAAATTTATCATTGTCAAGTGAACATTTTTTCTTTTGGTGTATAAATTATAACGTGAAGTTGTGAACATTTGTTAAAGTTTGCGATCTGTATCTAATCACTGCGATTCTAGTCACTAGAAGAGGGGGGGGGGGGGGGGTTTAGAAAAGTAGAGCAACACAATTTACACTTTCCTGAGTGATCAATTGTAATACATCGTTAATTTAAAGATAGTTTTCACCCTTACTCCTAGTAGAAGTATAGAGACAAGCGTTTCTAGTGGACCAATTAAGATTTACTGCAATAAATAAGAGGGGAAAGAGAGGCAGTGGGGTCAGTCCAAACTAATGAGAATTTTTCCTTGTTAATGATAATAATACCCGTAGTTTTGTGGATACCCTCCCATGTAAGTATTATTAGGTTGTGTTTGTGTGAATGCCACTTGTCCTTGCGTGCCAGCCCTTGCATATTGCTGCCACATTACCTGTTCCTCCATTAATAACCTCTGTTTCTTCTCCATCTCTGACATTTGAATGTAAGCTGGAGGTGCCACGGCCAATGAAGCTGCAAACGGATCTGTGCTTGCTGAACTTGAACCGCTTCTTGATGTTGGTGGTGCTGGCAATGCTAGCATTGCAGGCCTTCCAGCTGACCCCAGTGCCAGACTGCTAGCACTGCCACTAACCCCATAACTGAGTCCCTGCATAGCTGCATTTGTTTCTGCTTGTTTATACATGCTATTCAGCAACAATGTATCAAAGCCACCACCTAATGATGGCTTCTGGTTAGACAAGTTGCTAGTTGATTGGACCAGTGCTGTTTCCCAATCTGCCCCATCGTCAAAAGCATGCCATGGAAGAGCTTGTGTGGCACTTGTTGCTGGTGCAGCGCCATCAAATAATGCCAAGGCTAGTGTGTCCCCATGTTCTTGATTTGTCACGAAATCATCTTCTAAATTCAACAGATCGCCCTCTGTTTGCACCACTTTTTCTTCTTTCGGCTCTTTTTCCATTATCTCTTCCTTCACTTCTGCTGGTTGTTCTTCATGGAATTCTTCTGGTGGTGGCAGTGCCTTTATTGCATTCATATCCTCTTCTGGTTCAGCTTCTTCTTCTTCATTCTTTTCTTCTTGGGTATTAAGTTTCTTGGTTTGTGCTAAGTGGGACTTCTCTTTGATGTACTGATCCATGATCTCTAGCTTCTTTGTGGTGACCCTCTCAATATCTGGGTACTCAGAAGAGCGGGCAATTCCAATACTTTTGGACCAGCTATAGAACAAGTCTAGCTCATCATACTGCTTTCCAACACGGCAGAAAATGTCATACACCTTAATGCATTCTGGTACTACCATGTCAGTGAAACGATCAATTAAGATGCCCAGTATTTCTGTCATGTCATGATATATTTGAAAACTCTCCTTCACAATGGGGTAGAGAGCCACTGTAACAATTCGATGGGTTCTTGCTCTTCCTGTTAAGGTGAAACAACCATGAGATTGCTTTTTATGCTTGTGCATATAATCATTATATGGAAAGAATGCACGATTACTCATCTTGAACAATGTTACAAGTGGCTGCATTTTTAAAATAACAGTTATTACTAAGAACGTGAATTCAATGCATTGGATATTTCATTATGAACTGAAAAACTTATGAGCTGTTCAATCAAAATGAAAGAAAATAGATGACATTTTGTGTGCAAATATTGTTGCTATGTGCCTTCTATTGCAAGATTCCTTAAATGTGATTTAATAAAATTGGCCATTTTGTGAACCCAACCTGAAGGATTTTGATCTTTTATAACCTTAGCATTTTTTAAGATGCATGTTGGTTCTTAATTCTATCTATTTGCAAAGAAAACAAACAGGGAGGACTCTCCAGCCTTATCAGGCAAATTTGTTTGTTATTAATCATTACAAACCTGTGGGGCGGCAAGCTAAAAAGCGTTCAAGCAGCAACTGCAAATGCTGCATTTTGGAAAATAGTTGCTCAGTCTTAATTTCACGCACTGGTGTGGCTTTCACATTGACTTCTCTATCCTTGTCTCTTTCTCTATGTCTATCTCTTTCTCTTTCCCTTGGTTCCTCCTCATCTTCATCAGAACCAAACCTGCTACGCTTTCCACGCCTGTTTTGCATCCTGTACTCAAGCCTTTCATCTAGATATAATGCATACGTGCGAACAAATGCAGAGAAGTCCCATGAATTAGATTTTGACTGGTCCCTAAAATCAGACATGTTGAGAAGGCGAGTTCCACGCCTGGTTGAGAAGAATATTTCCTGCTCATAAGCATGATCACCATCTGTTAGCAACCTTTGAATCAAAACTAGTGTTTTCAAAGCCACTGTCCAACTGCTAGTCTTGCTTAGACGCCTAGAGAGGGTGTTAACACATGCACTGATGAATGCCCGAGAGTAACATGTTAAGCTGAGAATCTCCCTAACATGTCTCTCTTCTGCAGGGTATTCATCATGCCTTGTTGCCTTCACAATGGCCACATCAAGGTCTGAAAGTGAGTTGCTGCTTCCCACCTTGGCTAGACCTATGCTTGTTTGATCCTTCACTGCCCCAATGGCTTTTCTTAATTTGCTTTGAGACATGGTTTATTCTAGGTTTTAGGACTTGTTTTGATTTGGTCAGGATCTGGTTGTTAAATGCTCTAACTTTGGAGCTCTGAAATTGGTTGAATATGACCTGTAAAAATATGTTGAAGATTGTTACATCCTCCAAATTTATTAAACTACTTGTCATAATTTGCATACAGGACATTTCAGATTATTCGAATTTGAAAACTAAATAAATGTGTAACATTAGCTTCATGTTATATTATATATAATCGGAAAAATAGAGATTCTTCCAAAAGTTAATCCAAAAGTTAATTTTCTTTTCTTATATAAAAACAAAAAAAGATTACTGAACAGAGAAAGGGTATATAAGGGATGATGAAAAAAACCAAGAGGAAAAACGGATTGCTACCTGCTTCAAGAGCACCAGAGGGGCAATAATTAAGAGAAAGAAAGGTGATTATTGTGTCATAAACCTCAACTGATTATGGATATCCTTGCATGTAGAAAAATATGAAACCCAGAAGAGAAAGATTTCTGAAATAAAAGTATTATTATTTTCCTTAATCAGATGTTTAGAGAGAAAAGAAAAAAAGGAATGAAGAAGTACAGAAGGAGTTTCTATCTATCCTCTCTTCCCTCTTCCCTTCCTTCTGTTCCTCTCTGGGTCAAGCATTACTACCAGGAACAAAATTGGCCATCCATTGCCCGTTTTTCTTGCATGAAAATACGGGAACGAAATGAGATGTCATGACATATATGCATTTCCCATAAATGCTTAACTTGTATTTTTTTCATCACCCTCTGACCTTTTCTAGGGTACCATGACCAACTTAAGCTTTCTAATTACAGATGAATGCTAAAATTTTCCACTTTTTATATTTCCCCTTACAATCCAATTATATATCAAATTTATTATGTTAAATATAGATTGATTATTACTATGGTTATTGTACAGGTAATGTTAAGTCTGACTTTTCATGTCTTTGAAGGAGTTTTTGTGCGGATAAATTGAAAATTTATTGGATGACATAAAGTTTAGTTCGTTTAAGTCTATCAAAAACCATAAATGACTAATTTTAGTTAGGTTTAAAATTATTACAATTTTTTTTTTTTTGTAGTATTGGTTGGCTGAATGATTTAAAATATATTCTAAAATTATAATAGAGACAGGTTACATCACCTACCAATTTAATCTTCCGACTTTTACTATAATTTTTGTATCGTAGGGTAATATCTGAATAACTGATTTTTAAGAACACTGAATTTCAAAACTTGAAGAGAGAGAACAGAGAAGAGAAAAAATAGTGAGATCCAGTTTACTTGAAAGCCATTGATTTAATTATCGTGATGTAAAAGTGATAGTAAAAGTAGGGCTTTTTGACAAAAACAATAACATGTCAATTGTCGCTGGAACAATTATTAGATTAAACTAAGGGAAAAATTACTTTTATGCTATATGTGATAACTTTCTCTCCTATATATCCTTCGATAACTATGTCATTTTTTTTTCTTTTTATTTTTCAGATGGTGGAGCCCACAAATTTATCTCTATAACATGAGATAACTTATCTCCTTTTAACATAAGATTCATCAAACTCTTAAACTAATATAATGCGAAAGCCCTGAAGTGGAGTTTATCATGTTCAGATACACATATGATGGATGTGCGTTAAGTGTATTAGAGAGCCACTAGATGAGGCACTGTGTCTATATGCAGAAAGAAAAAAAACGTGAGCAGCTTTAGTCAATGTCATAGAGATGGTACAATTTTTGAAATAATTCTCTTAACTTAATAGTTATATAATAAATATAGTAAATGGTGCATTTTACTCAACTAGTGATGGTGTCCTAGTGGTATTAAGTGACGCTCTTCACTCCAATGTGCTGGGTTTGAATCCTTGTAACTAATTTTGAAAATCCGGTTTAAAGAGAAAATCGGTACCGATTTATCATCGGGGGACTAAGTCAAGTCCAGTCCAGTTTAACACTGGCTTCAGTTGGAACCCAAAAACTATCATCTTTATGTCCCTTAACAAATTTATTGAAGTGAGGTAATAAAGTGCACCTCTTTAAATTGTAATGAGATCAATTTTATTTTTAAATTTTTTTAACTTTTGTCAATGTTAATTCTGGTAAGCGTGGATCAGTTAACGTATTCAAAACTAATTGATACTGCGAGTTGCACTACAACTGACATAACCTTTATAGTTAGCATGTTGAGTCATTTCACTAGTAATCCTAGTAAAGAGCATTTGGATGCAAACGATAAGCTGATGAGATGCCTCAAAGGTACTAAAGATTATGATCTATACTACTCCGATTATCCTTCAACTGTGGATGGATATTCTGATGCTTCGTGGTGCTCAGAAATCAAAAATAGTAAGTCAACCAGTAGATATGCATTCACTTTAGGTGGAGCTACTATCACTTAGAAATTCAAAAGATACACTTGTATTACATTGTCATCTATAGAATCAGAACTTTTTGCTTTAGCCTCAGCCGACGAAAAGGCATAGTGGATTAAGGATTTGATTATGAATATTCCTTTGACTTTGCTAAAGAATAATTTTTTAAGCCTGTTTTTGTGATAATCAAGCAGTTGCCCAAGTTGTTAAAAATACTTTCTTTAATTCAAAGAGAAGACATATGAGACTCAGACAAGCGTTGTTGAATTATACGAGAGAACAAGAAGTTGTCACCTTGATCGATGTGAGATCGAAGGATAACTTGGCCAATGCTTTCACAAAAGGTATGCCTAAAGATTGATTATTCAAAAAAACGTCGAGAATGTGGTTAAAGACTACGTAGGCAAGTCTTAATTAGCATTTACTTACCTTCTAACTATGTTTTTTGAATTATCAAATCTTCCTTTTGTTGGCCAAAATGATAAGCAAGGTCTATATGTTTCACTGATGTTCATGGTTGCTGATTAATTTGAAAATGAGTAAGTTGTCTCATTCCAAACTTGATGAGATAACTTGAACCTAATTCAAAGGTTTTACTTGGAAAACTTGTGTCATTCCAAACTTGATGATACAGTCCAACCAGGTTGGACCATCCTTTTGGTTAAATGATCTCGTTCCAAAGTTGATACTAGATTATTTGAGTTTGAGGAATTAGTAATTGTGACATTCCAAATTAAAACATATAAATTGTTGTTTTCTTAAGAAGCTTGTTGGTCTTATTCTTCATTGAAACTTGATATCACATGATTAGGTCATTGTAAATGACTTGACTATTGGTTTTGTTCTTTGAAACTAGATAATGGTTATTATCTTACAGATAAACTTAAGTTGATGGCTATTTGCAAAATAAACTATTTAGGCTTTATTCATAATTTATGAAACTGTCTTGATGCTTACGAACATCAAATTATGATGCTTTATGACATTAATATATTTTCTTCTTTACCTGATGTTATGATGCTAAGTTCTTTTAGTAGAACTAGACTTTTTGCTAGATTATTCAAATGATTGAATTTTTTATAATATGAAAATCATATTAGATATTCTACAAGGGGTGACAGAGATGGAGGAGAGCTTAATGAGAGGGATCTTGACCAAGATGACCTGTTTGATGATTGAATATATCATTTAAGGAGTGTGGGGACTTGACAATTCATCTACTATTGCCCATCTTGATGGAGTCCATTTATTTGAGACTTACATTTTGCTATCTTTATTTTGCCTTCTTTCTTTCTCATATTTTTATTTGAATGTTGGGATTTGGTGACTTACATTTTTACTTCCAACTAAGCCAAAAATACATCTTTACTTTTAGTTCCTATTTTTACCCATATCAACAACATTTTTCATATCTATTTGAATTCCTTCCATCTTAAAAAGAATGATTATTTGATATTCGATCACAATCCCTGTGGAGACGATACTTTTCTTATCACTGTATTACTTATGCGATCGGTACACTTGCCGGTGAGCATCACGTACTATCCCGGTATTGAAATCAAGCAAAAGAAAGAAGGCATTTTCATCACCCAAGAAGGTTATGCAAGAGAGATATTGAAGAAATTCAAGATAGAGGATTGCAAGCCTATCAACACCCCAATAGAATGTGGAGTTAAGTTGTCCAAGTATGGTGAAGGAGAAGATGTTGATCCTACTTTCTTCAAAATCTTAGTTGGAAGTTTGCGCTACCTGACATGCACCAGACCTGACACCCTATTTGTTGTTGGATTCATTAGTCGCTACATGGAGTCTCCAACTACTACACACTTGAAAGCTGCAAAGAGAATCCTCTGTTACATTAAAGGTACTATCGATCTTGGCTTGTTTTATTCATCTTCTAATGAATATAAACTTGCTGGGTATAGTGATAGTGATTGGGCTGGAGACACATATGATAGAAAGAGCACCACTGGGTTTGTGTTCTTCATGAGAGATACTGTTTTCACATGGATGTCGAAGAAACAACCTATTGTCACTTTATCTACTTGTGAAGCCGAGTATGTCGCAACTACATCATGTGTCTGCCATGCCATTTGGCTAAGGAACTCGCTTAAGGAGTTGAATATGAAACAAGAGGAGCCAACCAATGTTTATGTTGACAACAAATTTGCAATAGCATTAGCAAAGACTCCATTCTTCCATGACAGAAGCAAGCACATTGACACACGCTACCATTATATAAGAGAGTGCATTGCAAGAAAGGAAGTGCATATAAAGTATGTGAAGTCTCAAGAGCAAGCTGCAGATATCTTCACCAAGCCACTGAAGAATGAAGACTTTGTCAAGATAAAAAGATTGCTTGGAGTTACAAAATCAAATTTAAGGGGGGTGTTGAAAAATAAACTTGTTTTGGGTTAATAGTTAGTTGGCCCAAATTCTAGAATAGTCTTTAGTAGTTTTTTTTGTATGGCCCAAATATTCAAGAGGTGTGTCTCTAGATATCTCCATAGAATGGTTGGAACTAGAGACTATAATAAATGTCTAGTATAGGAGTTTGTAGAGAATTCTCTAGAAGGAAATTTGGAGCCCTTAGATGTGAATTGTGATGGGACAATCTTAGCCATTGGTTAAGGGGTGCTACTAGTATAAATATATGGGTTCTCTACCATTTTGTATCAAGCCAAGAAGAAACAAGAGTTTAGTAGTAAAAAGTATTCTCTTCCCCCAAATTTCTCTAAATTTTCCTTTTCTCAAATATCCTCCTTCCAACACATCAGCCATAATGGTGAAAAGAAACCTTAATTGGAGCAACAAAATTAAACAGTACATTTCAAACACTCCCACCAAGAAGTTAATATCTGCGCAGATCGGCTTGCTAAAGCATACTACATATCCTCCAAGAATCGCTTGTACAGATGATAGTGCTCTTAAAAATAATGGATGCGATAGGACTTTCTTGTAATCTATGTAGCACTGATACTGACACAGAACACGTGACTCGATACGACACGACACTCCGATACGTTAATTCTAAAAAATGTTAAATTTCGACACGTTAAGACACGTTTTGATATTAAATAATATATTTAATTTATGTAGTATATATTATCTTTAATATTCAATAATTTAACAAAAAAATGTTTCTAAACTTATAATATTCATAAATTTTGCAAAGAAACATAAGATATTCCAAATATTTATATTAAACTCAATAAAATGGTAATCATAATCTAACGAATCTAACAGTTGGAACTAAAAAGTCAACGCAATTTAACCTTTGAACCGTTTTTTGAATTTCAATAACGCTTGTTGGAGTGTCGGGGAATGTCGGAGTGTCCGAGAGTGTCGGGAAGTGTCGGACATGACACGTCAGGGTCTTTGAAGTATCGATGCCTCATAGCTTGTAATTATGCGTCTAGTAGTCAGAAAGCTCTAGCGGAACGAAGGTTTTTTTTTATCTTTGTTTTGTTTTTGGGTAATACTTTTCTTATGTTACATAAGAAACGTATTATCTCCAACACTCACATTTTTCAAATGGGTGCCACAAGAATTTTTCTCTCTCACCTCCAACTCTTTTCTCTTTCATATTTATTGTTTGAGCAGGAGATAGTACTTTTCTTATGCAACATAAGAAAAGTATTACCCTTTGTTTTTAGTTGTAATCCTCTCTTTATTTTTTTGTTGGGCATTTAGTTCTCCAAGAAAATAAATAAATAAACTTGAACTTCTTGAATTATAAAAAAGTTCAATAATTGTTATTCTCACATTGAATCAGATATGATACCTAATCCCAAGTTAAGTCAAATCAGGATTTTCAAAAAAGTATTTGGTAAGAATTGAATAGAAATTCTCTTTCCACTTACTCAATTTGGAGCTACACACATGTGGTAACAGTTCAGTATTTAAAGTTATCAATATATGTATCAATAATTATAAAGATTAGCGAGACTGCAAGTAAGAGAAGAAATGAGAAATCATTGCAATCTGAAATAAAATAGCAAAAACTACCTGTCTTTCATTGCTTTCATGGTAAAAGAAAAAGCATTTTTTTAACATGATTCATGTTATTTTCCTTCATCAATCATCACACTCAAGCCAAAACTCATAATTGTCTAAAATTTTCTTAGCCATCAAGGAAAAAAATTAGAATTTCAAAGACTAAGAGTCTGTTTGGATCCTATTTTTTTAAGCTAAAAGTTACTTTTAAACTAAAGTTAAAAAAGAGTTTAAAAAAATTAAAATGTATTTGGTGATTATATAAAAAATTTAGCTTAAAAGCTCAAATTCCTTTTTCAGAAAAACTGATAAGAGCTGAAAATAAAATTTCCTCCTAGGAGCTTTTTGCTTTTGACATTTTTTTATTATAAAAAAAAGCTCTTTTTATTATAAGAACTTTAGTAAAAATCTATTTGATCTAACTTCTACTTATAAGGAGAAGAAAAGTTAAAAAAAAATTCAAATATACACTAATAAAAATTCCATTTTAAACTCGAGTTCAAAGACCCATCAATATAAAGAAGATAAAACAATAACTCAACAAGCAAGAACAAAACGAACATACCTTGCAATATTGACACACAAAGCAACAAAAGGAGGATTTGGTTTTTCTCCCTACTTTTAAAAACTTGCAAAGCTATTAAAGATCATCGACGAGAGGTGAGCGTGTGAGCGCGTGAGAAGGAAAAAAGTGCTCTGATAGGGTTTTGTTCGTTTTCTTGAGCCATCGCTGAAAGGGGGAAGGCCCCCGAATACTGAAGAAGATGGATTCAGGGATAGGGATACTAAGAAAGCCAAGGGAGAAGGCATTGTGGATCTGGATATGCAGGACCCGTCTCAGGTAGTGGGCGCTATGGAGGGGGAGGCTGATCTAATGGAGTTGAACTTCAGCGAGAAGGGTTTAATGGGGATGGAGGACGATCAACATAGGGAACCTCGGAAGTTGGTATCCTACAAGGATCGCTTGCTACGGCTCAACAGAGTGTGGGACGGTCAACAAGGAGATGAAGATGAGGACTGGCTAGCCTAGAGCAAACGCGATGAACTAGATGAGGAGGATGCTATTAAGGCCTATGAGCAGTCGCAGGTAGACGATCCTTTGAACCCTTACTACTATTTTGATGTATTGGAAAAGCTGGAGGAGTGCAAGAGGTTGAAAATGCCATTGATCGTGAAATTGATGGGGAAGAAGCTAGGTGCTAGGTTCCTCTGGAACAAATTGCACAAATTGTTGAATCTGGAAGTGGAATACAGAGTGCTAGATTTGGAAAATGACCATTATATGGTCGATTTCGAGAAAGTACAGGATTACCTGTTTATTCAACAACAGGGACCATGGATCATCGCAGATCATTACTTGATTGTGCAGAGGTGGAGGCCGAATTTTGATCCATTTGATGACCGTGTGAGGAAGCTAGTTGTGTGGATAAGAATTCCTGGGGTGCCTCGCAAGTTTTACACTTACAAGGATTTATGGAGGATGGGAAATATGGTGGGGAGGACTTTGAGGATTGATGAGAGCTCCCTTCGGTTTAAGGTCAGGGACAACATGAGGAGATTACGGATCGAGGAAGGTTTGCCCGCATCTGTGTTGAAGTAGACTTGAGCAAGAGTTTGTTATCGAAGTTCAGAATTGGGCAGAGAAATCTCTATATTGGCTATGGGGGTTTGCATCTCATTTGTTTCTTGTGTGGGCAATATGGCCATAGGAAGGATCAATGTACTCTGAACCCGGAGAATCTCAGGAAAACTCAGGACGAGGTTGGTGAGGATTTCATGTGTTCAAGTAATGAGGCTATAAATGAGGGAGAGAATAACAAGTTAGATGTAGAGCGGAGCGAGGAGGAGGATGGCTTTGGGAATTGGATGAATGTTCAGAAGGGATTTCGAAAGAGGAAATCTCCTGTGCAGGCAAAGGTTAGAGATCAAAGATCAGGGAAGGAGAAAGCTGGAGATGATATTGGAGGTCAGGGTAACTTAAGTAAACCTTCTGGATCGAGATTTTCTCTGTTGAAAGATTTAGTTGAGGAAGATAAAAATAAAGGGGAACAGAAACAGAATAATTCAGAAATGCTTGATTCTGGGAATTCTATTGGGATTGTAGTAGGAAAGAAGAATTTAGATGTGAGGATAAGGAGTATAACATAGACAAAAAGAAGGCTGGTCAAGGACAGATGGTGCAAAATCCTGCAAAAAAAGGGAGTCCTGGTTTGAAGATTTATGATGAAAGCAAGAGCAAAACAGTGAAATCTTCTCAGAGAGGAGCCATTCTAATCATGAAGGGGGCAATAATCAAGCATCTAGCAGTTATGGGAAGAATAGAGGGGAGGCTGGTCCTGTTAAGGGAGGTAGCAGAGACTCAGGCCCGAATCTTATCTTTAAAGAGAAACCTCCAGATGATATTGGAGATGAAAGAAGGATAGGTGCAAACAGCAAGGATGGTATGGTGTTGGATGATATCACCAATCTTAGTGGAGCTTTGAAGCCCAATATTCTGGTGTAGTTTGGTGCAGGGGCTGCTTCTGAGGTACTCTTATCTTATACTGTTTTTATGATAGTGTGCTCTTGGAATTGTAGAGGAGCGGGAAAAAAGGGTTTTCTGCTCTTATTAAAGATTTCGTTTATCAAAATAAAATTCAGGTACTAGTTTTGCTAGAAACTAGAGTTAGTGGTAGTAGAGCTGATAGAATTGTTCAAAATTTGGATTTTGATAGCTATTATAGAAGGGAGGCAATTGGTTTCTCGAGAGAAATTTGGATTCTGTGGAATAAAAGTATTACTACTATTTCTATCTTGTTGGATGAGCATCAATTTGTGCACTCAAGACTTTGTTGGGCTGAAAATGGGAAGGTGGAATATTTTACTTTTGTTTATGGCAGTCCTAGAAGATTGGATAGGAGTTCTCTGTGGGATAACCTTAGGGACATTGGGCTGACAATGGATATGGAGTGGGCTGCTATGGGTTACTTTAACAGCCTTTTAGAAGATAGTGAAAAGCAAGGAGGAAGTGCCATCTATTGGGGTAGTGTGCAGGAATTTTCTAACTGTCTTAGGGATTGCAAACTCTCGGACTTAGGATTCTTAGGAGCTAAATTCACCTGGAAAAGAGGCAAGATTCAGGAGAGAATTGATAGATTGGTGGTAAATGAGGCTTGGCAGTTGAATTACCCGAATAGATATATTCACCATTTGAGTTTTAATGGTTCTGATCATAGGCCTTTATTATTTAAGGATGATTCCTGTTCTGTGGGTACTGAAGGCCCATAGCCTTTTCGGTTTCTTGTAGCATGGTTGAGTAATGAAGGCTTTGGGGAGGTGGTTGACTCTTGTTGGGATCAGAATTTGAACTGGGTTAATGCTAAGGACAAGTTCAAAAAGGAGGCATCTATCTGGAATTACACCACATTCAAAGAATTACATAGGAGGAAGCATAAGATTCAGAACAGAATGAGGGGTTTAGAGGCTGAATTGTGTAGACAGCCTAGTGAAGCTTTGGAGAGATTGCATAGGTCTCTTTGGCAGGAGTTGAACACAATATATGTTCAAGAGGAATTGACATGGTTCCAACGTTCTAGATGCAAATGGATGGCTTATGGAGACAGAAATACTAGGTTTTTTCATTCTGCTACTCTTGCTAGAGCCAGGAGAAACAAAATTAAAGCTTTGAAGGATGATGAGGGGGTATGGGAGGAAGATCCTGAGAGACTGAAGAATATGGAAGTTGACTTTTACAGGAATCTTTATTCTGTAGAGGCCCAACCTGTATCTAATTTGAGCATTGAGAACTATTTTCCAGTTATAACAGATCAGAATTGGGAGAAGCTAGGCCTTATCCCTGATATGGTGGAGGTTAGGAATGTTTTCTTTAGTATGAAGCCCTATAAAGCCCCTGGTGTGGATGGACTGCATGCAGTTTTCTTTCAATCTCAGTGGGAAAAAGTGGGTCAATCGGCTATTCAGTTTGTAAGGGAGGTGTTTCAGGATCCTGCCAAGGTTGAGCTAATTAATCAAACACTGATATGTTTGATACCAAAGATTGAAAATCCAGAATCTTTAGGTCAGTTCAGACCGATATCTCTTTGTAATGTTATTTACAAAGTGGTTACTAAAGTGGTGGCAAGCAGGTTGAAGAAGTACATAGGAGAGCTTATAATGCCAAATCAATGCAGCTTTGTGCAAGGAAGGCAAGCTTCAGATAACATTATAATATCTCAAGAGATCTTCCATTCTATGAGGGCCAAGAAGGGTATTAAAGGCTGGATGACAATTAAAGTTGATCTTGAAAAGGCCTATGACAGAGTAAGTTTGGATTTTTTAAAAGAAACCATGAGGATGGCTGGATTTCTTGGGACTCTTATTGATCTCATCATGGCTTGTGTGTCTACATCCACCATGAATGTGCTTTGGAATGGGGCTCAAACTGAAGAGTTCAAGCCAACAAGAGGGATCAGACAAGGTGATCCTCTTTCACCTTATCTTTTTGTGCTCTGTATTGAAAGGTTGGGACATATGATTTCTTCTTTGATGGATCAGAAAAAATGGAAGCCTGTAAAGTTAAGAAGGAGAGGCCCTCCCATATCCCATCTTTTCTTTGCTGATGACTTGCTTCTTTTCATGGAGGCATCTTTAGACCAAGCTGAGTTGGTTTCTACAGCACTCAATATATTTTGCCTTGGTTCTGGTCAGAAAGTGAGCAGGAGCAAGACTCGGGTTTTTTCTCAAAAAATGTGAATCATGTTAGGAGGAAAGAGTTGTGTCAGGTTATGAGTTTTTCTCCCACTGCAGATTTAGGTAAATATTTAGGTATTGCCATCTTGCATAAGAGAGTGAATAAGAATACCTTTAAATTTATCCTAGAAAGGACTAGCAATAAGCTTAGTGCTTGGAAGCAAAATTCCCTATCAATGGCTGGTAGAGTGGTTTTGACAAAATCAGTGTTGGCTTCTTTGCCTACCTATGCTATGCAAACTTCACTTATTCCCCTGGGTACCTGCGATGCTGTTGAACAGTAAATGAGGAGTTTTGTATGGGGATCTAATAGAAAGGCCAAGAAAATTCATGCTTTGCCTTGGAGTGCAATTTGTAGACCCAAAGGTGATGGAGGTTTGGGTATTAGAAATTTGAGGCAAACAAATAACGCTTGTCTGATGAAGGTGGCCCATGGGATGCTTACCAAGAAGGATGCATTATGGGTCAGAGTTTTGAGACAAAAGTATAAGGTGGAAGATAGGCTCATCCCCAATATAGTGAAGAAGGCTGGGGTCTCTAACCTGTGGCAAGGCATTACTCGGGTTTGGCCTCAAGTCATGGATGGGTCTAGGATCATGATAGGTAATGGGAAGGGAAGCTCCTTCTGGACTGATAAGTGGAATCCTATTGGACCTTTGAAGAATCATGCTATTCGGGACATACCTGCAGATTCCTGGGATGCTGATACTGCTCGTATGGTAAGACCAGATGGGGATTGGGATTGGCAATTGCTTGAGGGTCTCATTTCAGCTGAAGCCCTGAATTCTGTGGCAGGTATTTGCCCTCCTCATCCACTGAATAGAGATGACATGGTTATTTGGGATGGATCTCATGATGGGAAATTTTCCGCTAAATCAGCATTTTGTAGCCTGAATAGGGAAAGTTCTGAGCCTAGTCAGATTCGATGGAGTTCAGTCTGGGAATGGGAAGGTCCTCCCAGGATTAAAACTTTCCTTTGGCTTGCCCTTGGGGAGAACCTTCTAACAAACCAGAAAAGAGTGCAAAGGCATATAGCAACTTCTGATTTATGCCCCAGGTGCTGTATTTTACCTGAGAGTTGTGCTCATGTTCTGAGGGATTGTAGATGGGCTCAAGACATTTGGAGAAGATTCATAAGTCCAGGAAAATGGATGGAGTTCATGAATCTCTCTTTTGCAGAATGGATACAGGTGAATTTGATTGAGAAAAGGAGCCTTTTATGTGGGAAGAAGGGATGTATTTTATTTGGCATTATTTGCTGGTCCCTCTGGAAGGATAGAAACATGCTTGTCTTTCGAAATCAATGCTCGAATGAGGAGTCTTCTACCAGGAAAATTTGTATGTATTTTTCCAATTTTAAGGAAGCAAACAAGTTGTATAGGACTGCTGGTATTCTTAAGGCAGTTAAATCTAAAGTGTTGGTTCAATGGAGCACTCCTCCCCCTGGATGGATAAAGGTTAATGTTGATGGTGCAACAAGAATGCAGAATGGGAACATTGGTTGTGGTGGAGTGTTGAGAGATGATTCAGGTTGTTGGATAATGGGGTTCACAAGGAATTTAGGTGTGGGGAATGGGATTAAAGCTGAAGTTTGGGGTCTGCTCTTAGGCTTACAATATGCCTGGGAAAGGGGATTTGTAAGAGTGATCTTGGAAGGAGATTCAAAGACTACTTTACAACTGGTGAAGGAAGGCTGCCCAGCTGATCATCCTCTTGCTTTCCTGGTTCAGAAAATGCATACGTTTCTTGGCTTTGATTGGCAGGTGAAATTAGCACATGTATAGAGGGAGGGAAATGGAGTAGCTGATTACCTTGCAAGTCTAGCTTATAGATTTGGCTGGGATACACATTTTTTTGATTATCCTCCTGTTGGATGTATAGATTTACTTGGAAGGGATCACTTGGGCATAGCTTGGCCCAGAATGGTCTCTGATATGTAGTTCGTTTATTTTCCTTGTTATACAAAAAAAAAAAAAAACTTGCAAAGCTTTAGATACAGTTATAACTTATAAATGAGTAGAAGACTTCTCTCTCTCCTCATTTTTCCTGTGGTTTGGGTATAAACCACTCGAACCCATACGTAACAGCTGCCTCATGTATTAGTCTCTGTTTGTATTCTATTTATTTTTTGAGTTATGAATTACTTAAAAGCAGAAATTAAGTCAAATAAATTTTGAGAAAAACTCTTATAATGAAAAATTATTTTTTTATAACGAAAAAAAAAGCTAAAAGCCAAAAGCTCTTAGAAAAAGCTTTTTTTTTAAGCTCTTGTCTAGTTTTCTTGAATTGTGTGTATTTTTTTTTTTTTTTGAAATGAAGAGCTATAGAAATAGAGAGAAAGAATTTTTTTGAAATATGTACTTTTAAGTAAGTTTTAAGCTAAATTTTTTAAATAATCACCTAATAGTTTTTAAGCTTTTTTTAGCTTTAGCTTATGAGTAGCATTAAGCTTAAAAAAAAATCCAAACATACTCTTACCACTTCCTCGTCTTCAGTACCCATACCATTTTTTTAAAATTTTATTATAAAATAAGTGACAAAAAAATCTATTTCATTTGAATTTCCTTATAAACCTTTACCCAAAAAACAAAACTTCCTTACAAAGATATATATATATATATATATATATATATATATATATATATAAAACCAAACAATTTTTTTCTGATATTCAAAACAGTATAATTTAGAGAGAGAAAAATATTTCTAATATTTATAATAAAAATTAAACTACAGGTTTTGCACAACTAGTTTGAGATAAAGAGATTGTTGATGTTAATATTAAATGACAAATTTTAAAATCTGGAATATTCATCACATAATTTCTTGTCAAAAGTTGGATGATTAGGTTGCAAAATCTTTCAATAACAATCAGTCTATTTATTTATTTTTTAACGGTTGCAATTGGTTATTAATTAGATTGGGGATGGCTCATTCAATTCATTATTCAGAAAATCTTGTAAGATTTTGTTTGTTTAAGTTTTGTAAATTAAGTAAATTAATAATTAATAAATTATTATTTCATAATAAGTAATTAAATAAATATTTACATTATATAATTGTTTTACATTTAAAAAATAATTGCATTAATTATTAATTATTTTAGTTAACAAATACTGTTTAAACAATGTTTACACAAATTTCTCTCTTTACTACTATTTCAGTTCTTATCGTTATATTTTGATATCTTAAAAATATACTTAACATGATATTTATAAATAACATCAAAGTAATCTTTCCAATAACCCAACAAAAAAATTTACATAAATGATGAAGGTATACCTCGGAAGATAATGCATTAAGTTGAAGACATTTATTGACATTTTATATGGTTCAAGAATTTAAAGTTTATTTTTAATTATGGATATTTTTAATACTTTAATATAGTGTTTTGTTTATGAAAAATATTTGACTTGTAATAAGGATATTTTTATATTTAAACTTGAAAATTGACGATGTGGTGAGTTTTAGGCAAATAAACATCACGATGGTAATAAGAGGTGAAAGTTAAATTTTCTTGTGCAAAGAACGATCTTCTTCAGGTCGGCTTGCGGAAGTGTTGATGAACTAACAACAAAAACGAAAATAAACAGAGATAAGAAAATTAGAGAACACCAACACTTTTAACTTGGAAAACCTCCTCAATGTGAAGAGTAAAAACTATAGGACCAAGTCCAAAAAACTTTCCAATATGAAAAATTGGGATTACACGAAGGATTTACAGCACAATAATCAGAGGATTTCACCCTCTAGAATAATAGGTAAGACAAGTGGCTCAAACAAGTGTTTTTATCTGTAAAGGATAGAGAATCCTACTCTATATGGTATAGTTCTTCTTTTTCAGCAATGGCGCTGCATTTCTTCCTCATAGAATCTTCGTCTGCTTGCACTTTCTCTTGTGCGTTTCCCTTTCTTTACATCTGTCTCTATTTTCTCTCTCTTGACTTTTTTGGTGTGATGGTTCAACATCTAAGCATATCTTATATATAAACAAGAGATTATGATATCCATTAATTGAGTCAGGTCCATCATGGGCCACAGAGCCAACAAATTCGACGTTCATGATCACATTCTGTGGAGAAATAATTTAATTAATGGAGTAGGCCAGGATCAAGATCATTGTATTCCTAATATATTAAGAATCATATAAATTGTTGGGTAAATGATCAAAATTGTCTGGCTTTAACTGACATGATTGCTTGTATAGGGTGCCAAAAATCTGACTCCATATGAATTTAATTTCTTGGCAGCTTCCGGAAGAAGCATGGATCAAATTAAATATAGAGGGGGCAACAAAAGGATCCCCTAGGCAGGTTGCTTGTGGGGGAATTTGTAGAGAAAATCAAGGGGAGTTGCTTGGTGTATCTTAAAAGAGCTCGAGTTCGTATAGGAAAAATGCTTTTGGAAAATCATTTTGAAAAGTGGTTCATCCACAGCAATCACATGCTGGGAAGTCATCTCGGAAGTGCATCAAGATGGGACGGTTGTGCGTTAATTAAAGTCGTGGGGGTGTGAGATTGGTTGACCATGCTAGTTTACAGGTCATATTTTTCATTACATGGATGCTCATGGTGGTGGTCGATGGCAGTTCGTGCGGGTTTTGATGGTGATAATGCATGGTCACAACAACAGTTTACAAGTGTTTGGGGACTAAGTTGCAAAGGGCTATGGTGGGTCATGAGTTACAAAGAGAGAAATCAAAGTTGAAAGAAGAGGGAACAAATGTGACATGAATCTATTTTTTTTTTTTTTTTTTCTGGAAACATCCATGAATCTAAAATTTGAATCTTGGTATAAACTCTCTTGTGAGTTAAAACCAATAATATTAATTGCTAGACTTTCGTAAATTAAAATCATTTATTAGCATATGTCACATGATTAACTCAGCCATATTAATTACTAGACAATAAATTAAAATAATTATTTATTAGCAGAACACTTCATTTATTAGCAAAGGAAAAAATGTTTATCATTTTAAATGATATAAAGTTATGTCATTTTAAAAGAGAGATAGACACAGATTTTTTTTTTAAATTTTAAATTAAAAGAAAACCATCAACTTTCTCTCTCACATGATTTCCATTTTTTTGTGTCTACCTCTCTCCTAAAATGACATAACTTATGTTATTTAAAATGACAAACACCAAATTCATTATCAAATACTTTGAAGTTTGAACTACTCTCTTTGAAATATTATTGGTGAATTAATACAGTACAACTGGACATGAATGACAACACACTTAGCATTTATTTTTTCGAACCGAAGTCAACTCAAATATTAATG